CACAATAATCTCGTGCGTGGGGAATTAACGTCTCCTACCCCTAACCCTGCAGGAGACGAGGCCTATTGCTTATTCGTCCTTATCCGAGAAGACCAGAATATCTATCCATTTCTTGATTATAGAAAGGCAGCAAATTCTCCTCACTTATTTTAAGACCATGAGTACGTGCCTCTAAGATCAAGAATCTAAAATAACCTAATACATACTGTCAAGACCTAATAGATTAGAAATTGCAATAAGTTAAAATTAACATTAAAATTTAAGTTTGTACAATAAAATTTAGAGCCACTTAAATACAGGTATAAAATGGTGAAGCAATAACTTAAATAACTTCAAATTAACATTAGTTCCGGTTCCGTCCATTTTCCAGGGAACATACACAACCCTAAGTATTTAATGATTTACCCTTTACCTTTAAACTTTGGTAAATACAAATTCCGATACCACTTTGTAAATATCCAGATCCTTTTATTTAACTATGGAAAGGTTTGAACAGAAGACAACTTCTGCACACTCTTACGACATTGTTAAACTTCTTAGTCCTTAAAAAACTACGTTCCACAGAGGTTTCAATAATTTCTCATCAACTTCTTAAATCAAATGCCGGATGAAGTAAGGCATGATAGAAATAATGCTTTCAATAGACACAAGACACGTTAACGTCATCATTCCTTCAATTAGGCTGCCTATTTGTTAGCCTGCAGGCAGGCGCGGTCGTGTCTTCGCCCACGGGTACGTTTTAAAAGGCCTTGAACAAATTAAGCGATCCAGCGGGAAGTATGGCACTGATCTCAAAAGTGGTTGCAGCATACGATTTTTGTGTCCAAGGCCATTACAACTGAAATTAAAGTTTACTATACTGATCTGTATTCTCATTACAGCTCCAATTAACGGCGGTTACTCTGATTGGTCCGACTGGAGTCCATGCAGTCGATCATGCGAGGGAGGAAGTCGGGAACGTCGTCGTTCTTGCACCAAGCCCCTGCCTGCAAACGGTGGAGCAGACTGCAGGAAACTGGGTAGAAATTGGGAAAGTCGAAGATGTAATGTACATAAATGTCCAGGTGAGTTAGAGGAACACAGAAAAATCATAATTATGACGTATTGTCTTTTCTGGAAAAGGACTTCTCCTGGGAGTGACCCTTAGAAGTGTTGAAACTCATGAATTCTTTATTATCTTTTTAACGTTGAATGGATATTTTTGTTTTTCTTCGTTGGGCGGCTCTTTTATTGCAATAGTACGTGGGCATGTATTTCTTTACAGTTTTTATTTGTGCTTTTGCCTCACCTGTCCCATCATTCCATAATCCTAAAACTAGATAGTACTGACAATAGCCAAAAAGTCAAGTTGTGTGCTTGAAAAAGTAAAGTGTAGCTTTATCAATCATTTAACGCGTGTAACCGATCATTTCATATTTGTTTTAGAAAAAAAGGTAAAAGAAAAAGATTGATCCACCCGAAGGATGTAATGGATAAAATATCCTTACCACCTGCAACATTAAAAATGGCTACGAAACCCCTCTACAATTTCCCCACACGCTTCTTATCATTTACCTTGGCTGCACATTACCTGAGAAACTTTTCAGTGTGTTGAAATAAATATGCTCAGATGTGTTTATTTAATTCACGGTGTCAAACATTGATTTTCTTTTTTTTGTCCATGATGATATAGGCCACTTGTTTTCGTTGAAATTAATTCTGTATGGAACCAACAAGGACCCTCTCGCAAAAAATCCTCATGTTGAAAGAAGAACAAAACGCTTACAGGATGTTCACCTCCCTCAACGTAGAGAAGGTCATTCAAATATATATATACTGAAAACACAATTGACATTATCACTAAATCAATTCGCTCCTGAGTTTTGATTTTGCTATGTAAGTGGTTTTGTTTTAAATTCCAAGATTTTGTCTTGTTGTAGAAGAAACGACGAATAGTCACATGTTTTTAGCAAGCTGATCCTTAGATCCTTAGATCAAAACGAAAGTCATGCAAACCCAGCGTGGGAAAAAGAGAAAATCTGAATCGGCCATGAAAGTCTCATGGCCATATGATCATCACGAGCTCTCTTAAACCAAGAGAGGACGAACTCATTTTCTATCGGTAGAGCATCCGACGGCAAAATGCGACTTTCCGAGGCTCTAATCCATGCAAGGGACAAATTATCAGCATCCATTTAGTTATGCATACCAAAGAGCTGGTCTTTGAAATTCATTGCCGTAAAACTAAATTTCTATCAAAATTGATGCCGTAAGAAAGCAAAGAAATATGTGTTATTGACCAAGCATGAGGTCAAGATGACTGGATATTGGCTGAGCTCTTTGTTTAATTTTATTTTGGACCGAATCAAAGTGAAGTCCATGAAAACGCAAAAGAAAATGATGCTCATATCCAGCCATCTTTACCTAACGCCTGCTTAATTAATAAAGGGTTTGGATATATCAACAAAGTTGAAGTGGTAAATTGGCCACCGTAACGATTACAAAAGCTGACGTTTCGAGCGTTAGCCCTTCGTCGGAGCGAATAGAGGAATTGTGGGTTGTGTGTGCTTTTAAAGGCAGAGAATGGAGCTACGTTATTGGTGGGAACATGGCAACGAGAAAAACAAGAATAAATTAGTGGAATGAAAAGCGTTCGTCAGCTTTTTTAATCGTTACGGTGGCCAATTTACCACTTCAACTTTGTTGATATATCCAAATTATTTCGTTACTCCCACCGACGCAGCCCCCAACAGTTTCTTTCGAAACTATCAGCCTTTAATTACTAAAGGGTTTATTATATGGCAAAAATATTTATCTTTAATAAGAATAACACTGACTTTCTTAATTTCGGGCACCAGATTTTTGTAGCATCTTTTGACAACTTTTAAAACTCCATGGCCAACATTTTTCAAAAATTACTAACTTTGAAAGTCCATTCCACACAATTTTTTTTTTTGCTAGCGCTAGATCAAGGCCGGCACACTCGCGTCGCCAATCAGTACAAAACTATGATCATTGCATTATTTGTGTACAAATTCCCGCTTATTTATCGCAGATATTCCAGTTCATGGAGGTTTCACACAATGGAGTTCCTGGACCTCTTGCAGCAAGTCGTGCGGAGAAGGGTTGCGGTCTCGCTCTCGTTCATGTACAAAACCCCGACCCTTAAACAAAGGCAAAGGTTGCAGTGGATCAGCCTTGGAAACACGAACATGTAACATGGGCATTTGTCCAGGTAAAGTTTGAGAAATTCACAAAAAAGCACATATGAATATTATTTTAAGAACTTCACAAAACTAGATTGTTTTCCTATTTACGTCATCTGCATTTCTTCACCAGTCGACAATAAACAGTAAATTTCTCTAAACAGATCACGGTGGCTATGCGAGATGCACAGTAGAAGTAGACCGATTAAAATAATTTTTTTTCATTAAGTAATAGGCCACAATTTCTGTAGGTTTAGCTGCGTAATAAACCGCGCTAAATGATCAGGGTCTCCGTTGGGTCGACGGTTAGCCGTAAAACGGTAAAAGGATTTAGCCGTAAGGCGTAAAAGTCTAACCGTTAGCCATAAAAGCCATCATTCCACTGAGACCCCTAATGTTTGGGTAACACTGCAGTACTTTACTTTGTAAATCATGAACTGGAGGCAAGTGATTTACGGCAAGTAATTTTTTTTTTTTTTTACAGTGTGGTCTAAATGGTCTGAATGCAGTCCACCTTGTGGACGGGGGACTCGGAGCCGTTATCTGTCATGTCCCACCAGGAGAGACTGTAGGATACCGAGTTCAAGAAGAGAAGTAAAAAGGTGCTTCACTAACTGTCCAGGTGAAGTAAAACAAATTAGTCCGAAACTTGTGCAGGCAGCGGGCGCTAACTTAATAAGAATGAAGGGAAGAAAGAGTGAGAAATTGAAAGATAGAGAGGGCGTTTCAAAGTAGAGTACATTTTAGAGTCTGGAAAATAAATGAAGGAAGGAGAAAAGTAGCACATGAGCAATGAAACTAAATGATGAATTATCAAATGGTGGGATGCATGGCTTATGCTATGTTCGGCTGGTAACCAAACCGGAGTGTAACATTGTTTGACAGTTAATGTTTCCGTCTACTTTGTATCAGTGGCTGGAAATCATTCACGCTGGTCTATCTGGTCCGAATGTAGCGTAACATGTGGAAATGGAATCCAAAAACGAACCCGTACATGCATCCGAGGATCATCATGTGAGGGATCTGACGAAGAAACGAGGACCTGCAGTGGAGGAATTTGTCCAAAACCAGGTAAACTTCTTGCTTCCAGCACGCTACCCACTGAATTAAAATATTTCGACTAAGATTAGACTCCCCAGTTATTTATTCAATAGCACCACTTTCAAAAATAAGCTCATGAATAACATATACCGATTTTTTGTCATGTTAATTTAATGAAAATACCACTGCATAGTCTTCTACACATATATTTATTGTTCAGATACAATGAATATATGAAGTTCATATATTTTGAACTGCGGTATTAAATACGTATGATGCACGATCCTTCGCAGTAGATACCGCAGTTCAAAATATATGAACTTCATATATCCACTGTATCTGATTTATCATCACGGGTTTATTACGAATCAACTTAAACGGCCTGCTCCCAGTTGGCTTGTTAGCTCAATTGGTAGAGCGCTGCACTAGTATCGCAGAGGTCAGTGGTTCGAATCCCGTACAGGTCTGATTTTTTTCAGGTCTGATTTTCGCTATTGCATACTGAATAGCGCTATCTACTGCGAAGGATCGTGCATCATACGTATATATTGATTGTATCGGCATGGTACGAATCGCATGTAGAAGTGTGGCTGAAACAAGTTTAATTAAATTTCAAAGCTGTGGAAAACATACATATTGGCTAAATAACTAGAAAGGAGAGAAAAATGTGAAATATAACAAAACTTACGCCTCTCAGGACTGTGAAAATGCACTGCGTGGTTTACGACTAAATAATCAACGCGCATAGTGACGTAACGCAGCATAACAACAATGTCTGACCGAAAATGCTGAGGCACACGGAGTGCCAATACGTCTATATACTTGTAATTATTTTCAATACAGCGAATCCTTCATGTATTTCACCTTCTGTTATTTTAAGAGAGCATCAGGATCATGAGCTTTGTTAACTGTTGCGTACCCTCTTTGAACCAGAAAAGTCTTTTTAACCAATCGACAATGGTTTAGCTTGGTCTGTACCCTTATCGGCAACAATATTCCTCATCACATCGGTCAAAATGTTGTGACCACTATGATGACGCATATATTTGTCGATAAGAGTACAGACCAAGCTAAACAACTGTCGATTTTCTTTTTACCACTAAATCGAAGTGATTCTTTAAGCGCGTGACACGTTGCGTGACACGTTGACCAGAGCACGTTGTCTGTGCTCTTATCGACAACGGCAGACTAGCCGATCGGATTACGACATTACTGCCAATTGTGATAAAATATATTGTATTGTAAGTCTTGTAATGATTCATTTTCCCGAATATTACCATTGATTGATCGTCTATTGCGTTGTAATTTCAAAATCTTAAAGTTTAATTCCTAAGGGTTCACATCCTCACCTTGGGCTTATTGTGTTTCACTAATCTTGTGTTCAGTTTCTTTCCCTTATCTACTCCTCATTCAGTTCACACTTTGTGTCTTTTCATAGTGATAACAAGCACGCACCTTCAAAATAACTGGGGTGACAGATATTGTAATGGTCAGAAAAATCGCTGCAAACAGGACTGCCAGAGAAGACAATTTAAACGAGGATGTGCAAGGACTTGTGAACTGACGGAATGCAAAGGTTCTGTTACTTAAAATTGGTTTTATCTTTATGAATGCTCTAAGTGTGATGATCTCTGGATCGTTTGATAATTTTATTCGCTATTCTAGTCTTGTATTCTGGTGGTCCCCGTTTCAAGCCCTCCACTATGGGCGGCCATCACCACCAAAAATACAAGGATGTTAAATAGATCAGTAAATACAAAGATGGTTTAAGGATCAGCTGCAGGATAGCATAGCTAATAAAGGAATGGCATGGCCAAATTATAGACAGTCTAGGTCTCCTTCATGAAACAGAACACCCTAAACATAAATAGTTTAGCCAAATGATAAACTGTCTAGTTGCCCATGTCGAGTTGAAACATGAAATTGTGAAATGGACCAGCTAAATTGCAAATAGTCTAGCACTCATTTGCGATACAGTACACAAATGGTGTAGCCTTGCGTCAGATGACTCAGGTTAATACGGAGTAGCACAGCGCACGCACAAACGGTGTAGCTTAGGGTGAAATGGCTCAGCATAATGTCGAATCAGTGGTACAGCGTACATACAAACAATGTAACTTTGCGTGAAAAGGCTCAGCGTAATGTGGAATGGTACAGCGTACACACAAATGGTGTAGCGTTGTGCGAAATGGCTCAGCGTTATGTCTAATGGTACAGCGTACATACAAACAAGGTAGCTTTGCGTGAAAACTTATCCGAATTGGCTCTGCTTTACGGCAAGGCGAAGTGAAGGCTCTTCAACACAGTGACTACAATACGTCATGGTTCCGGTTCGCGCCATTCTCCACACTCGATGACGTCATGTCCCCCAGCAGATCGCTGCTCCATTTGCGGTTTGTGTTTTTGGTGGTTTCGGCGAGATAGCGTAATGTAGAATGGTACAGCGTACATACAAACAGTGTAGCGTTGCGTGAAATGGCTCAGCGTGATGTCGCATGGTACAGCGTACACACGAATGGTGTAGCGTTACGTCGAATAGCTTTGCAGAACATCAGACGCTCCCGCTGAACATTAAATTGTTCAGCATTACATAGAATATTTCGATGTTGTGGCAAATCGTCGAGCTTGCTTGTGGCGTGACGTGAAGGCTGAGCTATTTAAAGCAACGCTAAACCGTTTGTGTGTACGCTGTAGCATTTGACATTACGCTGAGCTATTTCACGCAACACTACGGTGTTGGTATGTACGCTGTACCATTTGACATTATGCTGAGCCATTTCGCACAACGCTACACCATTTGTGTGTACGCTGTACCACTCCACATTACGCTGAGCCTTTTCACGCAAAGCTACATTGTTTGTATGTACGCTGTACCACTGATTCGACATTATGCTGAGCCATTTCACCCAACGCTACACCGTTTGTGCGTACGCTGTGCTACTCCGTATTAACCTGAGTCATTTGACGCAAAGCTACACCGTTTGTGTACTGTATTGCAAATGAGTGCTAGACTATTCGCAATTTAGCTGGTCCATTTCACAATTTCATGTTCCAACTCGACATGGGCAACTAGACCGTTTATCATTTGGCTAAACTATTTATGTTTAGGGTGTTCTGTTTCATGAAGGAAACCGAGGCTGTCTATAATTCGGCCATGCCATTCCTTTAGTAGCTATGCTATCCTGCAGCTGATCCTTAAACCATCTTTGTATTTACTGATCTATTTAACATCATTGTATTTTTGGTGGTGACGGCCGCCCATACTCCACCCTGCTACTCACTGGATTCGTTCACTGTTGCCTTGGCTGCGCTTTGTATATAGCCAATTCGTCTGCTTCCTGCCAATTGAGGCTCTTAAAATACTATTTTTATGTTAATGTACAATTAGAATTTCGTTCTTTCAATGTGTAAACGCAGAGACACTTGGGAAATATGACCTAAGAACAGTTGATTATTATTATTATTATTATTATTATTATTATTACTATTATTATTATCATTATTAATCATTATATTCTATCAGAGCCGAAAATCTCAACATTTGAAATTGACGTCTGGAACGAAAGTCTTGAAAAATGTGTGAACTTTGGCAGTGCACAGTCTACTATGAGCTCTAACTGTTATAGTTTTTTCCAAACTAATTTTATCTCATGACCATGAAGTAAAAAGGCCACAGACAAGCTAAGAGTGCTATTGACCGATAAATACCCAAAATTTCTTTTAATATTTTGAACAATTCATCTGATTGAGGATGGGTTATTCAATTTTTCAGGATTCCTCTAATGCAAACCGTTACGAAAACTCTATTTTCTGGGAAGAAGTGCGATCTTCAACTAAATCGAGAATGAACCCAGCCTACCTTTTACATCATATAGAACGACATACTCCTCAAAATTAATGAGGTTTCATTGGATTTCGTTTCAGTTTGCGAAGACATCGGAACTTTCTGCGACGAAGATCCGGCAAATAACTGCAAGAATCAATTATGGAGCAAATATTGTAAGAGGACTTGTGGTTCGTGTTGAGTTTGACTTTCTTCTTTAAAGTTAAAGTTTCACGATTGCCTTGAGTATAACATACTAAACGAAATTTGAAAACGCTACCAAAATTTATTTGCATTTTGCCAAACAGTTACCACAACCCATATAAGGGGTTTACTGAAACTTTTCGTAAACGACCTTAGATGTAAATAAATTCAAAAAGGCTTCCTAACGAGTTGGAGAGGACAGTAACTCTTTGAAATCAGCACTTTTTGAAAAACATTGACTGTTAACCTCTACATGAAATTTTCTAGAATTAATTGTAAGCTCAATCATTTTACGCATGCTCAAGGGTTTATTCCAACGTTTCTGCGCTGACGAAAGTTGTAGTTTAAAAGAGGACCATTTTGTTCACTTAAATGGGTGTGAAGAGAAAAAAAGTTTCGGAATGGCCAAGTCTCAAAATCCATGATATTTTCTTTTTCTCAAGGGGGGGGGGGGGGGTGTTGGTGGATCTTGGATTGTTAGTAACTCAACAAGGTACAAACCTTGTTATTTAAGCGACGAAGACACATAAATCATAAAAATTAGGGCGAAATAAAACTTTTCCAGCACAAGATGCTCCATTTTCAGGTCCTTATCACCCCGCAAATACGAGCTCACTGTTAAACAAGGAAAGGAGCGGTATGAGCCTCTTCAAATGTGCTCAGAAATTCGTAACAATGACCCCTCCCCCCCTTCCCCCCACAAGTTGAAAAATCCTAACAACACCTACATTAAATCAATATATTTAGAAATCGTTTCCTTTGCTAAGCTGAATTTATGGTAGAGTTGTAGTCAGAAATCGAGCTTAAAAGAACAAAATTTTCTAGGCACGCTTACCAGTAGTAAGAATTTGCTTGCTAGATTAATCATTTAACAGTTACCATAGGTGAATGCATTTCGAACAAATCACCTTGCATTTTTGACATAAAAATCTTTTTAATCGTGGTCAGAACCAAAAATGTTGATTGTCATTTCCTGACAGCGGGAGAACAATTAATGCGGGAATAAAATGTTGCATGCGAAGACCGAAAGAAACAATGGTACCATGTAAATTCGGCGTCTACTTTTTGTTTTTTGTTTTTGATGGTTTGATAACCCCAAAATAAATCATTGCTTGTTTCTACACATTTTTTATAACAATATGGATTCGAATTTCGAGAAGTGATCGATGATGATAGAGAAAACATGTCGGTCATTCCATAAAGGAATGATGTTAGTAAACACAGTCAACCACCAAAGATATTGAGATCACCCCCAAGAGCTGTAGCTGCAGGGCGCGTGCTTTTCCACCCGGGACGACTTGGGATGAGTCTGGGAGGGGGTTCGGCGAGGGTCTGGTACTAGTCGTTATCAGCGTCAGACCCCTCGCAGACCTCTCGCAGGCAGGCAGACAAGCACTCATGCAGATGTGTTCGAGAACCTGCTCGCAGAATAATTTCTTTTGTAAAGAGTCTTAATGTGTTCGTAGTCAATGCTCACGAGAGGTTATAACTTTAAAAAGTTTAAAAGGAAAATAGATAAGTATCTTGTATTGCTTAGAACTAGAGGACAGTTTAAGTGTAACATGCAAGTTTGATTTTATGGGGCAAATAAAAGATTTTGATGATATCAAGTTGAGTTGTAGATATGAGTCCTTGTTGGCTGCACCTGTTGAAGCACATGAAAGATAAATGCCTGTGATTTCAAACTTTAGAAAAGATGAGAATTTGAACGAGGCTTACCTGTAAGTTGAAGTTAGATTGGAATTCTCTCGAGTTATAAAATGCCATTGGGATGACATGACTCCAGCACCAAAATAGCGAACTTCAATCCCTTGTGAAGGTGTAGTCTGATCGTCCGGGTGAGTGTAGTCCTGAGAAGGACTGTTGTCGGTGGTAGTGACTGACGTTTCGACAACCTGTGCGGAAGTCATCATCAGAGTCAAGTGAATGATTGTTGTCAGTAGAATGTTCTTATTCCAGTTCGTGTGAAATGATCGGTTGGTTTTGCCGTGATGTTATTGGCTGTAAGACTCAAGTGACGTAAGTCGGTCGTGATTGGTCTGTTTCGATCTGTCGGTAAAGTTAGGTCGTTCTTTTTCGGTCGTTTGTGATGTTTATGTCGTGAATGAGTCGTTTGTATGGAGCGGGTAGTTGTTGACATCTGTTTAGGGGAGTCTGTTCTAAGTTAGTAAACCAGCTTTCCAGAGTCAGTCGTTGAAAATAGTCAGTGCTGTAGGTTAGGCATTGCGCAGAGTCCCAGTCAATGTTGTGGTTGGTAAGTCGATGGTGTTCAGCAATGTGATTGCTGACATCACCTTTCCTCGTCGCCCGTCTGTGTTCAGTCAGTCTTGTTGTGAGGTTTCTGCCAGTCTCACCGATGTAGGAGGCTTGGCAGTCGGAACAATTGATCTTATAAATCGTTCCCTGTCTGTTCCTCGGTTCGTCTTTGTCTTTAACGTTGGTTAGTAACTGACGTAGTGTGGTGATGGGTTTGTGGGCGACGCGGATATTGAAGGGTAGTAAGATGCGCGAGATGTTTTCAGACATGCCTTTTATGTACGGTATGGTTGCTGTAGTCGTAGGGGTTGCGGTGTCGTTTGTTTCGGTAGTGGTAGTGGGTCGGTGAGTGTTTCGTCGGATGAAGTCGTTGTTGTAGTTGTTCTTCGTAAAAACACGGTGAAGGTATTTGTTCTCGTCGGATAAGCTGTCTGTCGAGTCACATACTAGTTGTGCGCGTCGTGTTAGAGTTCTGATAGTTGTGGCTTTGTGTGATGTAGGGTTGTAGGATGACTCGTCTAGTAATCTGTCGGTGTGTGTCGGTTTCCTGTAAACTGTCGTCCGTAATGAGTTGTCGTTGTGGCTTACCAGGCAGTCAACAGAGATACAGATTTTATTCCGGCCTCCCTGTCTTGCGAAATAAGCCTGATCGTATCATATGAATCTGTGCGTGCACAATAAAACAGGTTTTATGNCGACATCATGGACTTGCTAAACATTTGCCTAACGTCTACTTACTTTCAGTACAACGGTAAACACTACAAACAGTTACACGGCACTGCCATGGGGTCTCCAGTTTCTGTTGTTATAGCAGAAATTGTGATGCAGAACATCGAGGAACGCGCCCTTTCGACTTGCCGACAAACGATACCGCTTTGGTTACGTTACGTTGACGACACATTCACCGCCGTTCGACACGACGAAATTGACGCATTCCACAACCACCTTAACGAACAAAACACTGACATACAGTTTACCAGAGAAGTCGAAGAAAATGGCAAACTTCCTTTTCTAGACTGCCTGGTAAGCCACAACGACAACTCATTACGAACGACAGTTTACAGGAAACCGACACACACCGACAGATTACTAGACGAGTCATCCTACAACCCTACATCACACAAAGCCACAACTATCAGAACTCTAACACGACGCGCACAACTAGTATGTGACTCGACAGACAGCTTATCCGACGAGAACAAATACCTTCACCGTGTTTTTACGAAGAACAACTACAACAACGACTTCATCCGACGAAACACTCACCGACCCACTACCACTACCGAAACAAACGACACCGCAACCCCTACGACTACAGCAACCATACCGTACATAAAAGGTATGTCTGAAAACATCTCGCGCATCTTACTACCCTTCAATATTCGCGTCGCCCACAAACCCATCACCACACTACGTCAGTTACTAACCAACGTTAAAGACAAAGACGAACCGAGGAACAGACAGGGAACGATTTATAAGATCAATTGTTCCGACTGCCAAGCCTCCTACATCGGTGAGACTGGCAGAAACTTCACAACAAGACTGACTGAACACAGACGGGCGACGAGGAAAGGTGATGTCAGCAATCACATTGCTGAACACCATCGACTTACCAACCACAACATTGACTGGGACTCTGCGCAATGCCTAACCTACAGCACTGACTATTTTCAACGACTGACTCTGGAAAGCTGGTTTACTAACTTAGAACAGACTCCCCTAAACAGATGTCAACAACTACCCGCCCCATACAAACGACTCATTCACGACATAAACATCACAAACGACCGAAAAAGAACGACCTAACTTTACCGACAGATCGAAACAGACCAATCACGACCGACTTACGTCACTTGAGTCTTACAGCCAATAACATCACGGCAAAACCAACCGATCATTTCACACGAACTGGAATAAGAACATTCTACTGACAACAATCATTCACTTGACTCTGATGATGACTTCCGCACAGGTTGTCGAAACGTCAGTCACTACCACCGACAACAGTCCTTCTCAGGACTACACTCACCCGGACGATCAGACTACACCTTCACATGTTACCCCCGGGTTCGAACCATTTACTCCAATCCCTTGAATGAAACATATATGACCTGACGGCGAAGGGGGAGAGTTGGTTTTAGAAAGCTGGGAATACGGTCGGTGGGTGTCTTGGAAAACTATTCCCAGCCACCTTGAATGCCGTATTTCCTCAAGAAAGCGTCTGGATAAAAGAACGGACACTTATTATCAAGTCAGCGCGGCTTTAGGACAAAAATTGAAAGAAGAGATAACGAACGTAGAGCAACTCTGCAAGCACATGGAGATAGAATTAACTAGAGGTGACATGATAGTGAAGAATAAACTATTATCCGGCCTGCATTTATTCCGTTGTAGTTAAAGCTTGAAGAGTTATAAATGAGGTTGCAATAGAAACAGGTTTTTCTTTTATCTCTTCAATTTTAGGAAGTGAGAGAGGAGAGTTGGGGGGAAGGAGGGCGCTCGTTTGACGTTGTGCTCAAGGGGGAGGGCGTTCACTGGAGCAAATACGGTAATACTCCTTTGCAGGGAGCTTACATGACATTAGAGTTTTTCAACCGGCGAAGAATAAATTCTTTCTTTAATTAACAACAATTTACCGAAGTGGAGGTGGTTATTTCTGGATATTCACCGCTAGCAAATGAGACTGCTGAGATGAATGGTTGTTAAAGCATATATTGGAAACGGTGAGATAATATAGCAGAAAAAAGATAATAATTAAATCATTTATTTCTGTATGCAATTATCAAATTTTCGGAAGCAAATTCTGCGCGAGTTGCTCGGGGATGAAAAACAAAGGCTAGTAATCCACGTGAAAGTTAGGGAAAGTTACCTCAAGCATTAAGAAATCTTTCCAAAAATGCGTTTAAAAGAAACGCTCAAACAAATTTTATTCAACATATTAATTCACAAGACTCTTATATAGATTTGTCTGAGATTTTAGAAAATGTGAACCCCAGCTGAACAGAATAACCGTTGTTGAACTTGGTAATAGTATACATGATTTTGATTGACGTTAAGACCATTGCTAGTTTTCTTACAAATGCCTCGACTACACACTGCTTCTTTTAGTGTCATAGTTCGTAGAAAAATCCTTTTCACCTCCATCAAACACTCTTCAGGTACTACTCCA